ATGTTGTAGGGCTGTAGGATCCGTGAGATGGTCTCAGAAGTGCCCTTAATGTAAGGTATAGTCACTGTAATAACAGGTGTAGGGTTCCTGTTCGTAGCGTCAGCTTCGCTAGGTCGGTAAATGTTTTGTCTAATAAAGTCAGCGTTGTAGTTGTTTTTGTGAAAAACACGTTCAAGGTATCTGTTTTCGTCACGTAAGTTGTCCGGTGTGTCGCAAACTAGTTTCGCTCGTCTCGTCAAAGCCTTAATAGTCGTGGCTTTGTGTGCAGTCGGGTTGTAGGATGATTCGTCAAGTAATCTGTCGGTATGCTTTATTAGACGAAACATTTACCGACCTAGTGAGGCTGACGCTCCGAACAGGAACCCCAGCATATCCAAGATATGTTTTGGTTGACACATCAATTAAGATAATTTACAGCAAAATGGATAAACAATACATCAATGTCCTACATGCACGAAACCGAACATGGGGTTATAAGGTAATCATTTAAACAACAGATTGAAATAATTTATAAATTACAGAACACTATTTCTACAACAGTAGGGAACAAATTAACCTTATTTGACGTTGCGAATGGCAAGGCTGTCTGTAGAATGTCACAAATTTCTCAACCCTTCCTTTCTACAAAAATGCTAATCCTGCAACTTTGCTTAAGACCCAGTTTTCCATTTGGTGTTGGCAAAATATTAATTTATGCCATGTCCAATGCAGATTATCACAAAATTGATTTAAAAGCACGATAAATATCATTTTAAAGCCAAAAAAGCAATTATTTAAATAAACCACGAGTAGACTATCTCTAAGAAAAACTGATTAATTTAACAGGCACCTTAAATAATTAGTTAATATATGTGTTTCTTAATAGTGTAATACAGTGTATGTCACAATGTTGCAGCTATGATATTGCAACACACAGGGTGGGTTGCAGAACTCAACTTCCAAGTCAGTTTATTCAATGAACTTGGTGCAGAAATTATAATCCCATCAAGTTGTCTGTAAATACAGAGAAACCAAACAAATCATTACAATCTTAAGTAATACATTATTGAACTCTTTTGCATGTATGTACGGTGTATCTTCCATTAACATTGGGGATTTCTCAGAAGCTGCATCCATGATAAATTAATTTGTTCCCGCATGCATTTGGTTACAGAACTTTTCACATATTAATATCTCTGTCATAATTATGGTGATCTCTGTGTTCTACAGCAATTAGTACACAAGAAAAATACACGCAGTAAGATATTGTTTACAATAAAAATCAATGCCTATAAGCAATCATAAGGACCTTAAATTTATATTTCCTCAAAAATATCTCACCAGGCCATGGTTGCTTTGAAAATCTTTGATGTTTTAATACAGGCTGCCCATGTGTAAACTGTTCATATTGTAATATTATGAAGGACACAAACAGAGTAAAACAAAATACACTTTACTCGAACTCTACACAATTACAACTGAACTTCAAGCTATAACAGAATACTAAATAAACTAAAGCACCGTGGGAACAGGTCCCTAGAGTCATGTGCTAATGCATATTATAACACATCTATTGACTGACAGGAACAGGCACATAATCATACTGTAGCTGCTACTTGAACACCACTGTTATTCATGTAAAAACATATCAATTATAATTTATTATAATCTTTGCACACCAACAGATGACATTCCTTTATTTTACATACAGTGTTAGTTGGCACCCCAACGTTGTCAGTGGCAGACTCTGTCCGAGATGCAAAGAACTGTTATGAACTTGGCAACTTGCTTTTGAGAGCAAATGCCATTTGCTTTAAACAAGAAACTGGAACATTGCAAGTTACAGTCCCAATCAAAGGGCCATCCAGGCTGCTTGGTTGTACATATAACTGTACAACTGCATATGAGTTCAGCTTCCAAAAGAAAATCAGAGTTTGTCAGGATAAATACTGATGTTCTTGCTTACTAAATCTGAATGTGCAGTTCCAGAAGATATTCGCACCCAACACCCATTCATGGCCAGGCTTTAGAAATTCCAAATTAACGTATCAGGAAGAGAGAGCTCTAATAGAGAAAAAACGTCCATGTGGGGTATGAATCTTTTCTTGAAGAAAACAATGTCTGAGAGATTATTAATTACAAAATAATGTTTAAGAAATATCTTACCTGGTAATTCCAACTTTCAGAAAATTTTGTAATCTAGATTGTCTGGCCATTTCATATATTTGACAAGTTGACACTGGGCATGTTTGTAAATTTGTGGGCTTCAACATCACATTACTATGTAGTAGCATTGGTCAACTAAAAGCAGCATAATTTGGTTAATTAATATACACTGTGCAT